ATGTATATATGTTCTAAACCGTTTGTTTACATGCAAGAAATGTTGCCTGATTTTGGCTAGAGGGGGCGCAACCTCTGCATCGGCTCGGAGCGAATACTATCGGCCTCCCTCGTGGCTTTAAGCGCAACACGTGTCGAGCGCAAACATTGTCAGATTACCAGCGCAACATGAAGGCCCAGCTGGTGTTTCTCTCGGCAGGCAGCCGTATACAATAAGACCACACATATACATTATTTTGCGCGTGTACAGGTATACGAGTTGGAAGCTATTGGCTATTCGGGATTCCGTTTGACAGGTGACTGCATTCCGATTTGAAGAAGACAAATAAACTGTATCAGTTGGCCAGGAGAGTATGTCGCGGTGTTGGCTCTATACGTTTTAAGTAAACTTGTATACATATATATAACAAGCCCAACCGGACGAACGACCTTAGCTCGCTCTCTCGCTCTTTATTTTTTTTTTTTTTTTTTTCTCACATCGTACTACATGTACGTATGTAGGTACACCATAAAAACGCTCAACTTATTCACAAAAATTTATTAAAATAAATGCATGAACAATTTGTTAAATGTAAAAGTTAATTTATTTTTTTACAAATCATACATGTTGTAGATCGAGAAAATTATAAAAATTGCAAACACAAGACTAAACAATAAAACGTAATTAATGCCCTCGTAACTCGCGAAATTGTGGATGGAAACAAAGTTGGCAATAAAATTGCTGTTGATTTTTTTAAAGAGGCCATAACCTATTACCAAAGCTAAATTAATAAATAAGCTGCTAGGTCAGTATGCTCGGCGGAGAGGTGTTGTGGGCGACACTCTAGAATGTATAGGTATATACACTTTGAATGTACATATATACATGCATATAGAGAGAGAGAGAATATGTGGGTCAAGGTGGCCGAACGCTACTGGTACAACGTATACACTTTTGGTTCCTACAAGTGGCGCATTCGGTTAAAGCGTAGCAGGGAACGATGAGCGGTGCGCAAGATAAAAAACTGCCTAATCTTGGTGACCATGGCACCGTTTGTGTCTCGAGCAGCGCCGACCCGTACAAACTTTTAACGTTTCGAGCTTAAACTCCGACGAGATCTTTTTTTTTTATTTTACGGCGCAACTATTAAAACTATTACGATAAATTTGTACGATTACGAGGATTATTTGCAGATGGGACCGGAAAGAAGGGGGACGTTTAATCCTATACGTACGAACTTTCGAGCATAAAGTTTAACGCTCGAAAGACCTCGGGTTTAAGTTTGAACGTTCCGTTCTTATTTTCAACGAGGGACGAAATTAACGAACAAAAAAAAAACCCCCGTGACGACGACGAAGGGTACATTATTTACGCGTTAGTGTGGGAGTGCCTATACGTGATGTACTTGTGTGAAATAGGTGTCACGGGTGTAATGTACCTACATCGTACTGGATGAAAAATTGTCTGTCAAATGAAAAAGCGTTTAATCGCTACATCGCCACGAATATTGTACGTGAGAACGTTTGTAGCAAGTATCGATGTCGCCCACGCGTTACATACACCTTGGGAATTCAGGAAGTTACCGATCTCTCCCCCTCTCTGTGGATAATGGGGCTAAATTAATTTTTTCGCACGTCAATAAAATATGATAACGACACAATGCACAAAGGAAGTGCACGCGATGGGCAAGGGGACCCTCTATACTCCATGTATTATACCCACGCATGCTTTTTACGTACAGACCGGCTCTTTCGAGTATATAAATACGTGGTATATATATATATATATATATATATACGTGTGTAGACGAGGAAGAAGCTCCGTTGGGACGTTGCGCACAGTTTGTTCTCCTAGTAAGTCGGACACGAGAGAGTCACTCGTCGACGAGCGATGATTGATAGCCACCCCCCCCCTTCGTGCATGGGGCCTTGGCAGTGTAGGTGTATACTTGTACACCACACGAGGTAAATATCGCGCTCTTCGCACGCGTGAAAAATGCGACGAGCCAAATAAAAGAGGGAGAGAGAGTTAAGCCGTTGGTTCGGCAGAATCAGCAAAGCGATGTTTTTATAATACGTTCGATACATATGTGTGTATACAAGTGTACATGTACAATGGCGGGAGCAGCGAGAGAGTGGTCCCACGACTTCCCATCGGGTCTGNTATATTGACATCGGATGAGATGCATCAGGTTAGATATGCTATCAGATATAGTAAAGCACTTTAATTTATGAAAATTGTTTGAACCATAAATTATACAGCACATTGAATTTCGTATGTATTAAAGAAAAAATTTTTCTAGAAAGTATTAAGCAGTTGGTGGGATCTTCCGAATCAGATTCTTAGAAAGTGGTATATAGATATTATACTTAATACATTGATAGTGTCTACAGACTAAACTGTTTTTTATACTTTATTACATGGTGTAGTAGAGTAGTAGTGGATGGGATTCACTCGGTGAGATTCACTGGACAGAATTCCATGTGAATGATTTGGGGATCTACCTACAATGGGGTATAAACACCATTGCTGGACCATTGCTACTCATTATTTTCTTGAGTTATCGAAGAAGATGACATCCACCAAGTAAGAGGAGATGACCTTACCCTGGCTCGAGACCTCTCCGTTGGAGTGGAATCCAGGCAGTTCTTCAAAATACGATGATAATAGTGAGCATACATTCTTAAATAACTTTTGAAATTTAGAATGTTTTATTACATGTAAATTTTTTATTTACAAATGGAAGCGAAAACAACAGAGAGAGAAGAGCTTCGTCACCTGCTAATACTATAAGTAAGTCTTACATGATATATGGGCGGTGTGTGCATATTAAAAAAAATTTTTTTAAAAACTGAGTTCAAGACTTCTTTTTTACTAAATAAAATTTTTTTATGACATTATTAAAGTTTTGTTGTGTGACGCTAAATCAATAATTTTACAGATCGTACAGCTTCAAATAAACCACCGCTTCTACTAAGTACACTTTCATCGTCTATCGTGATTTTTCGGTTTTTTTTTTCCCCCATTTATTTTTTAAATTTTTAAATTTTTTTTTCTTGAGTAGCCGATCTTCCATACCGATCTGGGCATATAACTGCTCTATACGACGTGCTAGATGATATAAATATATATATGTGTACGTACAGTCGCTCGTTGCGCGCGTGAGATTAGAAAAAAAAAGATCGGATGCACAGGGGAACGGGGAAAAATGCCGATTTTTCGAGCGATCGGCATATAGCAGAGCTGCTTAGAAACGCTCGCCGAGCAGCGGGAGAATAGGAAAGGAGAGAACGGTGCGTAGGCAAGTTACCTGTAAGTATATGTATACGTATAATGTGTATAGATGCTACGAGGAAAAGAAAGAAAACAAAAGCCACCATGACCATCATCAGCACTGGCATCGGCATCTTGAGGCACCAAGTGACCACATATACATATACATACAATACGATGCACATTATAGTAGTATCCCCCTTTATGGCTGGTCAGTAGTTTCACGATGGTATATATAGGTATGTGCAATAACGTGTACGAGGGAGAGTGGTGTATTGCACGCTCACGCGAGTGTCAAGCGTGAGAAAATATTGGACTCGAGAGCGAGTCCAGCGACGAAGATATCAGGCTCGCATCAGTACCATGCAAGGTGCATTGGGGGGATGTGTGTAATATCAGGTGATACAAGTATGTATATGTATGTATGCGTGCACAGCATCCGAGAGCAGGTTCTTCTTCTTCTCTCGTCTCTCGTTGGCGCCTCTTCCCTTATCTCCCTCGGCAGATCGAAG